TGTATGTAATACTATGTATGTACATTTAATGTACATAAGTGATTCTAAGTAAAATGTACATAATGTATCTATCATACATTCGACAATCAATAGTGTTTAATAATACATACTGTATACAGTCAAATTTACTTATATATTTTGCTCATGTATTTACTCATTACATGTATTTTGAACATTTATAATTAGGGTAACATGTAATCATGATTACATGTAACCGTATATTTTTATTACTTATCACAGTAACAATTGTAATCAAAATTATGAAGAGCTTTAATCACAAACACAAGTAATTGATTACTATAATCGATTAATGATTGCTGTAATGAATTTAAGTGATGAATATTTAAAGACTCTATGATAATTAATGATTACTATAATCTACATTTATTCTCAACTCCGTTTGAAACTTTTAGATATTCAAATGAGGTCAAAACTTTCATTGATTCTCTTTGGTGAAAATTCTGCTTAAAGTGACCAAGAAATCATTTAAACTTATTTTTAGTTGTCATTCTTCACAGAGCTCTAGTTGAGGTTGATCAGTCTAGTTAGTCGGAAAGTAATTGGAATTTTATTTGATCAAATTCTTTTTTACCATAAAATAGTTCTACTTGTAGCAATCAGGAAACTATTAAAACTTATATTATCATTCCACATAAAGATCCAGTTTAAATTAAGGTACTCTTGCTAGTCAAAAATTGAATGCAATTTTATTGGTGATAAATTCTTTTGGATATAGAATGACAATGAAGTATGCTTGCAGGGACTGAAGAAAAATTGAAACTTGTATTGTCATCCAGCACAGAACTCTTAAAATTTGGTTGCTATTTAGTTAAATATAATTTAGTTAATTAAACCCGGTAAATTTAATTAAATGTGATACATTAATTTAGTTTAATTGTAATTATGTATGCAGAGGGCAAGAATTATGAAATACTGGCCAAGCTTTATACCCAGTACACTTTTCCCCCAGTTTGCCACTGCTTTCTGCTTTAATGAACAACTTGTCAAATTTTTTATTTAACTGTTAACTAATTTAGTTAACTTTTAATCCAGCTTAAAGCCAAAATGTAAATATTAGCACTATAAAGCACCACCTTTGCTCTGAAAAACTGGCTATAAAAGGTGTGAAGTAATTTTCCTTTTCTGAGACATACACAAAATAGTGCTTGTTATATAATAAAAATTATTAAACCTCTTTCCTTGCTTTGGAGATCACCTTACTTATGAGGCAAACATAAACATTCAAACAGAAACAGTTAAAAGGCTTTGGCCTATTCTACTTTTATATTATATTTATGTCTATTAGTGTCATTTACAGCATTAACTTTCTTTTAAATTTAAAATCTTGATTCGTTACAGACATAAAAATGAAAGTATGCTACACTCATAATGCAAAATGTTACGTCTAGAAAACCAGTTTTTTTTTTTTATTGTAAGTTGGAAAAAAATTGTCCTGGTCTTGTAACTTAATGTTACTAATACTAAAAGGATCAGAAAATATTTTAAATAATATTGCTTAGTTCTTACAAAATATTAGCTTTTGTTTAATTTGTGTTGCAGAGATAATAAGAATTGCCCAATTTTAATTGTTCAATCGCCAAAATTATATTTATCAAAGAAAAATTTATCACATTATTGTATTATTATGCTTCTAAAAATATAGATAAAATTCTGAAATATATTAAATATGTAAATGAATTACTTAATTAAGGCTTCAATTTCACATGTTAAAAATTTAAACATGAGTTTTTGGTTGAAAATGTAGGTATAAATTAAATAGAAAACAATTTACATAACATTGAAATATACATTTTAGGCTTTAAAGCTTTATAAAATATGTAGAATTTGCTGAAGTTTGAAATATTGACATTTTGGTTTACTTTTGTTGGAATTACCTTTTGTAATGAATTCAAATTTGCTCCCTAATGACTAGTTTTAGTGCCTAGAAAAATAAGCCAAATTCCAAATTCATTTGTTAAAATTTCAGTTTAGCATTGAATAGGTGCATTTTGTGCTGTGTCTATTTCTTAAATATATATTTTGAGCTGAGTAAATTTTCTTAAATGTACATTTTGAGCTATGTTCATTTTCTAAAACAAGAATTTTGAGCCATATTCAAAATAAAGAACTCACTCGTGCAACATTCAAATCCAAGTTTAATTAGTACTACATTGTGACATCGAGTCACAGGCTAATTTAGTAAATCCTGATCCAATTCTTACATCGCCCCTTAAAGCCTTAGTGCAATTGGGACACTCTCCCCGGAAATTCCATTCTCACCCTTTTTCTTGGAAGAACACCTGGCGTGGTATCTGTGATCTCCACGTGAAGGCTACGAGTGCTCTTAACCATAGCTGAGTTTTAGGGAGAGAAACACTTTCACTTTAATTTCAGTAACAACTAAACTTTCAGAAATTAGGTCATTGTACTTTAACTTTCAAGCATTTCTATAAATATGAGGAGCGAAAGACGCTCATTAGCATTCGAGTTCAGTTGAGTGCAAAGTTACGGTCCCCGCGAGGAGCATTTTTTTCCATCTCCCCCCTCACCTGAGGTCAGGGATAAAATTTAACATGGCGTCATCATCACCATTGATGTGTTTCTTCACTGCCATTTTTTAAGCTTTAAGCGTTGGCTTCCTCATAACCCAACTACATCTTCAACATGTTCTTTTCGAACGACGTTGCTACGACAGCCATGCTCATCTTTATATTCCCGTAAAGTTCTAACTGACTCTTAATTTTTAAAGTTTTACAAAGAAAAATTCCAGTTTTTTTTAATTTTTTATCGTGCTCTACAAAAAAAATACGATTTAAACCTTGGGAGATGTGAATGACGACACACGCCATTTTACGTGGACAGAACTTACCGATCATTCTTGCTCCTTTTTTGTAAAAATTTGTCATCCATTTGTTTTCAAACCACCAGGGGTTGACGGAAGTTTTGGTGCACCCCGCCTCCCACTCCAATTCTTGCTCTACAAAAAAATACGATTTAAACCTTGGGAGATGTGAATGACGACACACGCCATTTTACGTGGACAGAACTTACCGATCATTCTTGCTCCTTTTTTGTAAAAATTTGTCATCCATTTGTTTTCAAACCACCAGGGGTTGACGGAAGTTTTGGTGCACCCCGCCTCCCACTCCAATTTGCGAAAAGATCACTAATTTCTGTGATACCGATTGCCTAGTATATTTAATTTCTGTGATACTGAGTTAACGACTGCCCACCAACCAACGGTTTCCACTTCTCTTGAAAAAAGATGATGCTGTGTTTAAAAGTTAAAGAATTTTAAATGAAATTTAGTGCCTTACATCTTCACGATTTGGACTCCTTCATTTGTGCATCTAAGGATTATTTTTTACAGGTGATTTTATCTAGGCTAAGGTATGTTTTCTTGATCACATTTTATTTAGTAATTCTTGACCATCCTGGACTACCACTAATTTTCATCACGCGCCATGCTTTCTTTTTTAAATTTGTAATTTTTAATCATTCACATTAATTTAACCCTTTTAATTATTTTTCAATACCCAACCATCTAAACAGCAATAAACGAATTTGATTCAATGTGGCTCACAAGTTTTTACAAATTACTTCAACAACTTAAAGTTTTGATTTTTTTATAATAAAGCTAGTGAAATATTTGAACTATTTACTCATATCACTATAGAAGTAGTCAAAATAAAGTTTGTTGCTCTTTCTAAATTGAATTTTCTAATGGTTTTAAAAAACTAATTCTTTTTTTTTTCATTATGGTATTAAATCCTTTATTCTTTACCATATGTTTCTATTCATCAAAAAATTTTGTTGGAAACAAATAGAAAAATATGACGCAATTATTATCGTTTTTGTGTTTTGTTTCTTTGCCTTTTAAAAAAATGAATAAAGAAGTATCCAACAGGCAATTTTTGAACTCATTTTCACATCAGTGTGTAAATCTGTAGAAAGAAATTTTTCGGACTTACTTGCATAATATTAAATTGTTTTTATAAATTTATATATGTNGGATTGCGTTGCTTTATTGATTTTTCTAGATGTTGGGTCATTATATATATATATATATATACCTTTTAGGAATGTACTGTTCCTTTTATAAGTGATGTTAAGTTGTAGCCACTATTCACATTATTCTGAGCTATCATCAAATTTATTGTTCAAAAATTTTAAAATGAATTAATTGGAAACAATATCAAACAACAAAAATGTAAGACTAAAAATAAGAAGATATAAATTCCACTTGCCTACTATTTATTATAATTTGACTTATACATATAAAAATCAGTTATTCTTGGCTCTTATTTTTTAAACAAATTTTCTTCTTCTGATTCATAGCAATATCAATAGTTTCATAATACAGTTCTTCTCATTACTTTTAAGAGCAAAAGCTCTATGTCAGAAGAATTCTTATTACATCAGAATAGTTTTTGTTCTACAGCCTAAATTCATTTCAGTGACATCTAATTACTTTTTAACTTTGTCTTCACATATCTCTGATTTGTGTTTTATTAATTCTTGTAGTTTTTTGTATGTAAATAAAAATGCTACATTTTTGTCAACATATATAAAATCAACAACATTTTAAACTATATTTAGCAAGAAAATCCATTGTAAGTTTGAGTGGGAAAAGTGAAAACAGTTTACCCTGAAAATAATTCATACCAGGAATTCAGAAATCATTTCTAAGATATTATCTCCCATGTAAATCCTATGGAAAAGATTAGCATAAACATATGGTAGTTCTTTAAAGGTGTCCCTTGTGTAAAGGTTGTTGCTAAATGAAATCTTTCTTTTTATTAAACGAAAAAAGTTATGAATTCTTTTGCTTGTGCTATTTATTTTCTTTGCTAATGCCATTTTTGTGTTTAGATCTTGTTTTCCCCTTGCCTGTGTAATAAAATGGGTTAAATCAGACAGTTTATCAAATTGCAGTTAAAAATTAAATGGCTTATTAATGTATGATTGAAGTTGTTTGTCTAATTTTGTTTTCATTGCAGTATACTGGGAGTCAAGAAAGTGTTCTTGAAATAGATGATGACGATGAATATAGGACAACTCGTCTAAGTTTAACAGAACATGAAATTGTCTTAGTTCAAAATCAGCATCGTCGTTCCAGTGTGAGAGTTGCTGTCCCTAGAAGAGAAGACAGAGCTACTTCTCCTTGTAGTCTATCTTCATTAGATCCAAATGCTGTTGTTGGAGAGCAATCATTTGTTACGTCAACTGTTGATGTAGCAGATGTTGCTATCAATACAATGGATTCGCCTTCTGAAGCCGATTATGAAAGTAGTGAAGAAAGGTGGACATCTCCCTTTCCCAAAACATTAACTGATAGATTTAAATCTAAAAGCCTTGAGTCCGTCACATATAATCCAACTATTATAAAGACTGAAGAGGCAAATTTTGAAGTCTGTGATTTAAGTTTTGAAAATTAATTTTAAACAGTAATTATATTTTTCTGTATTCAATATTGATAGTGTATGTTAGAAGTAATGTATGCAATTATCTGCTTATAGAAATATTAGATATTTACCTAAACCACCTTATTTACTAAGTGATTATCCTATTTATAGATGTGTGCACCAAATGTATTTGCTTTTATTGTTTATAAATTTAGTAATTAAAATATTTTATCATATGTTTTACAAAATTAAAAAGGGCCAGATTAGTTGACATGTAAATTTTGATTTAATATGTTTCATTGATAGATTTATTTAATCATAAGAAAATACAGTTTTATTTTATTCTATTAAATGCATCTTCCTAAAGAAGTTTTTTCACATTGATCTGCAGTTTTTGTTACTCTTATGTATATTTAAATTCTATTGTTATTGTTTAAATTGATGTTAATCTAGTCAAAATGTTATTAAAAAATAAATCTAATATCATCTGATTAGTAATTTTTCGTCAATTTGCGCAGCTTTAAAGTTTCCTTTATCAAACTAAAATGTCAAAGTGTTTTTTTTTTCTTAAGCCTTGCTGCTTAAAAATTATTTGATAATTGGAACATAACATATATGAAGAAAAAGTAGCTTTTACTATTTTCACCCTTTTTATTTGAATGAACTTTAATTATTATTTATTAAAATTCTTTTTAATTTATAATTTAATTTGAAAATTTAATAGTTTAATTTCATGAAATTTTATTTAAACTTCAGTATACTTTTATATGTTTTTTCTCAAGCTGAAGTGTTACATAATCTTCCCTTCCTGAAAATTAAAAAATGTATTTTAGATTAATGTATAGGTCATTATCCTTTTAAAATTTTTGCTACCTGTATTTTGTATAAAAAAAATATCTTTTTAATGTTTTACTTATTCTATTAAGGACAAAATATTTTTAAAATTTTCACTTTGAAGTATTCTTATAATCATTATAAGTGATTTAGTGCCATTATGTCTTCATGTCTTCAGAATATAAGTACATACTTCCTCAATTTTGTTCTTAAAACTAACTTTCCATGCTTTTAGTCATGACTAATTGCATGGAATGTTATATTAATGTAAATATATTATGCTCATATGTGATATTTTTTTAAACGAAAAACTTATTTTTAAATTTAGTAAGAGACACTTCAAAATACTTCGAAATTTTTTGTACATAGAATTGAGTCAATGTTTTTAAAAACTATTATTTTCCTAAAAATTCATTCAACATTAAAATTTTACCCAAGTAATTGGCTTTTTCACTTATTCAACTTCACGTTCACTAAAAATGTGTGTAAACTGAAATTTTTTGCGGTAACGTGATTTTCCTATATGTTTTAAAATGCAGAAAAATTTAATTTTGGAAAAACTGTATTTTTAGTTAAAAATATAAAAATTAAGATTGTAATTTCATAAAAGTGGTAAGGAAATTTTTTTTGCAATTCTATTTTATATTTAACTTAAATAGAATTTTTTTCGATTTGGATAACTTTTTTTTCTCTTTTGAAATTCGCTTCAATGTTCTACTTTATTCTCATAATTAACGTAGCTCAAAAAATTTAAGTTAAAAAACTTTTTGGTAGAAACATTTTAATTTATTTAGACCTTTCTTATAAATATATATTTCTTGTGTTTTTTGTCTTCCATCCATGTTTTTAATTGTATCTAGTGTTTAGATTAATTATTTTCAGCTATTAAAGCTTCCAGTTCCTGGTTCAGTTTTGCAATATTATAAGCACTTTACTATTCCTTTACATTATTATAATCTATTAAAAAAAAATTTCACTCTTCCATTCTGGTATCTTGAAACTAGCTAGGAGAATAAAGTAATGTAATAGAAGCAAATGAATATGGCATACGATAGCAAATAGCACTAAACGTAAACCATATGCAAGATATAAAGTGCATTTAAAAACTTTATTTATCAGTTTCTGCAAAAATAAGTAAAAAAATTTAAGTTTGTAATTGATTTTATAAGAAAAGAGGTATTCTTTTAAATTTTTATGTAACATGTAAGTTTGTAGTTTCTTAACAATTGATATTGGTTGTTATCTTAGCACCCTGACTTATTCTAAATTTTTTGTTTCTTTTTTATCTTTTATTTTCTTTTTCTATTGGATAGGAATGCATACACTTGGGTGATAAAAGTTATGTTTATTGTCTGATAAAAAGTTGTGTCTGAAACAAAACTTTTATAGCTGAATTTCTAGGCAAATATTGCTGATTAGTTTTATTCCTACTGTTGAATTTTTTACGTATTATCCATAGTCTTTGCACATAAATATATAACTGTAGTGAATATTAAAGTTATGAATAGGAACAAATTTTTAAATTTTCTTTTATTGGAAAAAAGAGTAAAAAATAAACTAATTTATATGCTGTATTGAAAAATCATGTAAGCTGGAAAAGTTGAAAACATCTTTATATTTGTTACCTTAATTTAACTAGGCATCGATTTTTTTTAAACCTGAATACCTGTAAAATAACTTTTTTATTTTTACTCTGAAATCAAATAAATAAGGACACTATTTGAGTAGCATATGAGTTGACAATATTATATATATATATATATATATATATATANACTCTTAGTGGACAACATATGCAAATTTTGCACGGTTTGGCTTACTTTTGAAAGAGTTATCGCTATTTTTGTGATTTTTCCTTAATTTATGATAACCAGTGTATATATATATATAAAATAGGTCTAATAGTTAGTTACAGAATAAAAGCTTGATAACTGACACACAGGTTTATTGCTTCTGCGTTTGTACACTGTTATCACCTTTAGTTGATATAAAATTACCATAATTGCAGATTGGTGAGGATTAAGAATCTGAATATCATTAAGCTGTATAAAGAAGATTTTTAAGGTTTTCTTTTGCCTCTAACAAAAGCACTATGTATCACTCAAAAAGGACTCTGCTAGCTTTCACAAACATAAAATTCGAAAGTTTTCTTTTTATCAAAGTTTGGTTTAAAAATGTGAACATGAAATACTATAAATATTTTACATACAAGTGCTTCTTGTAGATAAAGACAAAACCTTAATTTTTTCATGACAAATGACTTCTAAATTCACTCATACCTGGTTTCATAGTTTTGTAGAAAGTAAGTTTTAAGAATTTGACTTTTAAGTTTAGCTATACTGTAAACTTATCTGTTTTTAGGAAGTTATCAAGAGTTATAAAAATTTATTTTACATTTATATTAACGAATAAACATAAGTTTGGCTTTATTTTAATTTTATTATTCAATATGTTTCTGATTCGTACATATTTTTTAAGTGAAACAATTCTGTAAATAGGTGTTAAAAATTTATAAAATATTAGTGTGCACTTATATATTCAACTTCTATAGAATATTCTAACTCTTTAGTATAAGCTATACAACATATATCCTTGCTTCTGCGAGCCACTAAAAGTATTTTGAAACTGTGATATTGAATGCTAGAAAATGTAAAGAGTTTGTTGTATCGCTTATGTTCTTCAAAGATTGATTTGATGAAATAAATTATAATTATTGTACATAAATTAAATGATTCTAGTCGTAAACTTGTAAAATATTTCTGCTGTTGTGCTATTTTATATTTTAACTTAAGTTTTTTATAGGTTTTATTCATATTATAATTTTTAAAGTTCTCTACATGTTGTAGTTTTTGTAAAAAAAATGTTTCTGCATTTTTAAAAGTGTATATATTTGTGCCATGTCTCCGATTTATTTTAGTAGTTATTATCTTTATCTCTATGGTTAGTTATGTAGCCTAAATTCAGAAGTAAAATTGTATTTTTATTAAAGGAAATTTGTGCCATATGCATTTATTCTTGCAGCAATTATTACATGGTATTAAATTTTTGCTTTCATTTCCTTAATATATCAGATATTTATTTATTTTTACTTTAAATTAATTCTATTATTGTTACACTTTTTTTATTATGCTTTAGGTTGTTATAAGTTAGTTTTATTATTTGAGTTTCCCTCCAATTTTCATTGAAGTTTTTGGTTTATTAACACATGCATAGAGAAATACTATGAGTGCATGAAGCTAACTCTGCCTGTCTTTTGAGATATCTTGGTTCAAATTTTTTAATTTTATTGAATTTATTTTTCTTATTTCATTTGAAATGGTAAAAAAATTAACTATAAGATATAAAAAATTTTAACTTATTCTTCAATTATTTTAAATGACAAAATCTAAAATTTGCTGAAATTTTTTTAAATGGAAGCTAATAAAAAATTTTAAAATTTACATTTTATAACTCAAAAACTATCAAAATTATTTTACTTAAATTTTATATTTTATTAAAATTTCAAATTGTAAAAAATGCAATTTTTGTTATAACTTACTGTTAAAACCTTTTTGATCATTATTAACTCAATAATAAACCATTAATAAGAATCGTTTTCTGCTCGAAATCATATTTAGATTATGAGTTTTATTAATAGATTTAAAGAGTTTTCAATTTGTGTTATAAGTTCCAGTGATAGAATGAAACATATAAAAAATTAAATTAAAGGGTCCAGAACTTTGACTCACCATTTGACTAATCAATTCAGGTCATATATTCCAAATTACAGTTACCCTCCATATTTTTGTCAAAAAAAATATTACAAAAGGACTTAAAGATCTTTGAAGTTCTCTGTTCCTGTTTTTTTTTTCTTTCTCCCTTTACCCAGTATTTTATAGTCAAAATTATTTTGTAAAGTAAAATATTAAATTAGCATAAGGCAAATTTCTTTATCAGATTTTGAATGTATTACAGTTTAGTTTCATAGTCTGAAAGCATTTCTCTTAAAGTTTCATAGTCTGAAAGCATTCTTAAAGGTTTCCAAATCTGTTATATCATCTTTAAAAAAATAACTGAATTTAAAAATACCAAATAATTTTTTTTTATAACATTTTTAAATGTAGCTTCTTTATAGTTTTTTTTAATGAAATGTAAAAATTTAGGTATTGTAGTTATTATTTTACACATAAATTGTCATTAGATTAAACTATAAAATAGTTACTCATATTCAAATATTCATGTGTATATATATATATATATATAATACACTTCTATAAACCATGATGTCTTTGCGGCGTAAACAATGTAATTTGCAGTTAAGAAATTTCTGTAACTAAGCAAAAAATATTGACTTTTAACATTATATGTTTAATTATTTGCTAAGCTAAGAGGTTACAATTTCAAAGATTAACCAAACCACAATTGACAAATTTGTTCATTAGTTCTAATGCTCTAAAAGATATCAACCCTTTTTTTTTTGTAAATTATAAATATTTAAGTGCATTTTTACTTTAATCATTATCTTAGTAACTTATATTTTATTTTAAAAAAATAGTTAAACTAAAGGAATCTTAACATTTTGAAAATATTTTATTTTAAAAAAATAGTTAAACTAAAGGAATCTTAACATTTTGAAAATATTTAGCCATTTAGGTGGCAACTAGTAGTTTTATCTATCAATCATCTTCATCCTCAATTATTATCAACTCACTGCTAAGTGAAAGTCTGTTAGATATTTTTTTCAGAAATTTCTAATGGCTTACCTTCCAATTTATGCCTGATGCTTTTCCTATTTCATTGAACCATCTTATTTATGATCACTTTCTTGA